GATTTCGCGGATAACGGACCCGTTTTTTTCAAACCCGTATGACTATGTCTAATTTTTTAGCCCGGCCCGTGAAGTCTGCGAACTTAGCGGATTTAATCCGCGGGCTCGCGGGCTAGTCCGCGGACTTCACTAATTAATATTTTTAAATATTATGATTTTAATATTAAGTTGTGTATTTAATTTTTTAAATTATTATGACATTAAAATTATGTTTAGTTGGTAGGTATTTGTCATTTGAATTACTTTTATGACATTTTGATGCTTTTATTATTGAAAGTTTGGTACTATTATTTAAGTATTTGTAATTATTTTTATTTTAATATTTTAATATTTAGTATTTTAAACCATTTTAACTATTGATAAATTTTAGTATGATAAAATTTAGCTTATAAATAAAAAATATTTTTTTTCTTCTAATTTTATGTATTTTTATTTTTAAAAATTTATTTTTTTGAACGATTATTTAGGCCCGCGGACCGATCCGTTATCCGCGGATTTTGGCGAGCCGGATACGGACTTAAAAAATAAGTCCATTTATTTTACGGACCGAACTTATCCGGCCCGTATAAAACACGAGTTTTACAGACCGGGCCTTAAACGGCCGGACCAGTCCGTATACCCACCCCTAATTCTAATACTTCCTACCACAATAATTTTTTTTTCTATGGCTGGACCCGTCACCTCCAACGTCCTGAGGATGCTCCAAGAACGAACAAAAAAAAAAAAAAACATTAATATGTCACTTGAGTTGAGATAATCAATTTTTTTTTTGCACAAAGTTGAGATAAACATTTGATCTTTATACACATAATAATATAGGGATTATAAATAACCCTTTCAACATTTTGAACAATAAAAATTATTTTTTTTATAAAAAATAGAATAAAAAATTACTCGGTTTATAAAAACTAAAAACATATTCAAGTTTGAAATTAAATAAATGATTCCACTCAACATCTACAGTACAAATAAGTATTTTCTTTGTCGGTAAAACACGATGGCTGAAGGCTTTGGGCAACGGGTTAGACCGTAGGCCTCATATATAAATTTGTGCGAACCGATTGATTTATCCAGCATTGGTTAAAACTAAACAATCTTGTTTGGTTGATGAAGTTGCAATTCACTTTTGGGACAAATCGACACCTTAAATTAAGATAATTACTCCAGAAGGCCCATTAGGAACTTAATCATAAAGAAATGTCCAAAATGATAGCAGAAAAAACGTAAAGATTAATCCCGGGATTGATTATAACTATTACTTAAATAGTACATTATGGAAGGAATGCAACATATTATTACCAAAGTAAAAGTTGACTCAAATATACATAAACCTTAAGCATAGCTTCTATTGAAAACATGAAGGGGTGGGGGATTTAACTAACAAGAATTCTAAGGGTGAGGGGTGAGAGAAGGAAATGAAGGAATGGATTGTAATATCAACTTTCTGCCACCTCTGCGACTAGGAGACGATCCCATGTCACAGTTAGGAGAGGAGATTCTCTTGCCATTTGGAGAAGATGTTTTGATGCATGTGATAGGAGAGCATGCGATAGGAGAGCTATCACCTCGGAGAATATCTGGCATTTCATCATCGGGGACAGTTTGAAAATGCTTACTAGCTTCTTGAGACCAAAGAGAATTTGATTTCCCAAGCTTTTGGCAGGCAAATAATGCAGAGCCAGATATGGTTGTAACAAAAGATCTTGGTGGCTTTCCCTTTGATGAAAAGGGCAATGGAAGCATTGGCCTGTTCCATGGAAATAACATCAATCAATAAGGATCATCAGTTCTGTCATCCCATCTCACAAAAACAAAGTCGGCATATCAAACCTGGAAAGCCGTAATGGTGTTGACACAGTAGCAGAATCATGATGATCTTCAGTTTTCTGTAATGCTTTTTCTGCCAGACCCTTGTCAGATGCTTCTGCTTCTTCTGTCTCGGTTTCTAAGCCTACAGGAACAGAACCTGAACCAAGCCAATCAGCTTCATGATATTGCTACCACACGAAAGAACAAAAATTCTTAAGACATCCACAGTCTGTTACGATACAGCTTAGAAGGACTGTTGAAAATTTTTCTACCGAAAAAAAAGAATTTTCTATTAATGTCAAATTGATAGCTAATTCGATGGTCCTGACTAAAAACTTACCATCCTTTCTACCGAAAGCGTTCTTGCACCCTTCACATCTGCAGCTAATGGAGCAACCAACACCACCCTTCAAAAGAAAACTACTATTTATAATTCATATCAATGATATCATTACTGAAATTGGAGATACGCATGATAGGACAAGGGTGAAAACCTGATAACATTCACAATATTTCTTTAGGCAGCTTGATTTTTTGCAGTTGCATCCTCTTTTGTGTCGTGCTGAAGCTGGTGTTTTGTTAGGGTCATCCTGCATGAAGATAATAAAATTAACACCCTAAATTGCATAGGATTAAAACTAATTTAAGTTTATTTTCTAACCCCAATTTCAGGTACAGTGTCAGAACTTCTGATGACTTTAGGAGCAAATGCAAGCGGGTTACGAGATTCAATCTGCTTGCGAGTTTGAAGAACAGTGTCTTCATGGATAGGTTTGTTGAAGCAATCCTGACAGGCGCAGGGTTCTATGCAGTAGACACCAGCAGCAAAGCACTCACAATAACTGATACAAAAAGAAAAGAAAATGAAAATAAGGTTAATTCCAAATAGAGTGAGGTCATTTTCTTTTCCTGTTGTAAACAGTAGCCATAACAGGACAAATTAAACATGGAAATTTGACTCCAATTTCCATGTTAGATGTCGTTTAAATTCTATAGAGTAAAAAAGCTTAGCTCACTTGGTTTTCAAGGTTTTAAACAAAGAGATGACACTATACGATTACCACATAATTTAATAAAGCTATGTCATTAGAATTTATAGTTGATTAATAAAAATAGATAAAGGCCGTCCCAACATATAACCTATTTCATTGCTGCAACCCAAAAATAAAGATGATGAAAGAATATTTATTTGAACTTACAGCTTCAAACACTTTGATTTCTTGCAATTGCAGCGTTTACAGCCCTCAGTTTCTCCAGGTGTCTCCAGCTTACGCCTGCAAATCCAACTTAGTATAAGGTTAATGAAGAAAAGAAAAAAATAAAAATAATGAGGTGGAATTTTTCAAGCATATACTCAAGTAATCAACAACTGCACTTGCCTTTTCTTTCTGGGGCTATTCTGATTGAAGTCTTCACTAGCCATGTAAGCTAATGGCTGGGAACAATCTTCAGCAGGCTGAACCCCATTGTCTAATGGATCCAAGTCCAAGTCTCCTTCGGATGATAAAGGTACCAATGCTAGATGCTGATGTTCCTGGCTTGTAGAGATTTGCAAAGAAGTGGAGTTGGGAAGATTGAGTTGTCTTCCGGAAGACAATTTTTCAATTTGTATGCCCTTGTAATCTTTTAAGGCAGCAATTGCATTCAAGTGTAGACCAATTCCTGGCAAATTTCCCTTTTGTAAATTCCCACTGCGTTTCGTTGGAAGAAGTTGCTTTTCATTAGCAACATTCCTTCCATCAGACTCAGATGTACTAGAACCGGTGTTTGAATTATCATCAGAGTTCTTCCTTTGCACATTGGCCATCTCAAAGTCTAGACAGCGCCTTCGTATGGCACGGTGTGTGACAGAAACAAGCTGAAACCAAAACACAGAAGTTCTTATAGATTGATTGATTTGTTAAATACATTTATAAAACAGGTAGAAAGAAGAAAAAAAATCAAATATTTATAAACCACAAAAAAAAAAAAATACAAAATGACATATATATAGCATGCTTCTTTACTACAACACATACCAGGGAATGCAAAATGCAGCACAATTTTAATTGTAAAAAAAAAATGAATTTAATCTTGTAGTGATGTACTTATAAAACATTGATTGGCTTCAACCCACAGTGATACACTATTGTTTTAGAATTAGAAATGTTACTCAAACACAAAACATAACAAAAGGAGATACCAACAATAATATGAAATCATACTCAAGCACATAAAAATGTGGAAAAGGATGTATATATGATTTAACAATGCACTACTTCATATGCCATAACGCACCATTTTACCGTTGGATATTTTTTTTGGGAGAAGTTCTGTAACTACTCCGTATGAGTACTGATACTCGAATGCAACAGAGTTTAGAAAATCTACACCTTAGAGATAAACTCATGGAAATATACAAGGCAAACATACACGAAAATTTATAATACACATAATTCACCTCAACACAGACAGGTTTCACTTGCCTACCTGGTCGTTTGCTTTCTCATTTGGATTGCTAGTCACCAAAGCAACATTGGCAAGATTATTCTGTATTTCGTCTGTGGCTGTGGCTGTTATTGGCTCAATTTCATGTTCAGAACCAGAAGCAACCGAATCAACAATGTGCATTTTCCTACCATTGTGCATGGTAGAATGCGGTAGCATAGACATAATATCGTTCAACGGTTTGTGCATTAGACCCTTAAAAGCTTCTGCTTCACCTGGGGGACTAAAGATGAGCATATCAGGAGCATCAGGAATCAAACCATCCCAATAACACTCTGGACCTTCACTCTTTGGCTCCATCTGACACATTTCCTGAATATGCACTTCACCCTCAACTGAATCTGTTTTGCAACCTTCCTGAACACCAGGCAATTCCAAAAGAGAGTTGGCCTCATCACCACAAAGTGGAGGGGCATAGCCAGGGCTACCACAATTATACTTTAAATCTTGCGATAGCTCAACTGAGAATTTTATGTGTTCACTAGATATCTCAATTGGAGCATCTCTTACTGAAATCCCTTTATCACCGTTTTCCTGCAATCCACTTGAGTTATTATGATGTTCAGGTGTAGAATCTGCAAGAGTCTCTTCACTTGAGTGAACTTTATTTACATCTTCAGAAGAAACCTTAGGCTTTGATGTGCCCAACGGGTTATGTCTACAAACGAATAATTGGCAACCATCAGAAATGGGTCACTAAAGAATTTATATAGAGAAACATAACTTATCAAAAAAACAAGAAATGACATAAAGAATAAAAGATTTCAATATTACCTTCGGAGGAATCTAGATTCCTTGAGACAGCTGACATGGGGTGACGTGAAAACCGATGGAGGGGATGAAAAGCTCAGTGAATTGAAAGTTTGACTAATGGGAACAGATTTAACTGGCTTTATAGGAGACAAACTATTGATATAGTTGAAAACAGGTGAATCCTGCATATAGCAAAGGTTAAAAATATACTTAAAGAAGATGAATTAAGGATAATCTTGTATACACGAAGAAAATAAGAGTAATTTGTGTAATTAAAAAAAATGGAGAAATCATATCACTAAGGTTACCAACAACTGCAGAAAATCAGAAATTATTTGTTAACGGACCAGATCTGACAAAGATTGTCCATTGAACATTGTAATTATGTACATGCCAGAGACAATAATACAGAAAGAAATCCCTGTACTATTACAACACATTCAGCGATAAAACCAATGACGAAATGACGCAAAACAGAAAATTGTAGAAACTTACAAAATTGGGACCAGCGTGTGACTGTTTAAATCGTTAGAAAGCCGTGTATTTTTTTCTTTTCAACTTGATTGCAAATATAAGATTTTCATAAAAAAAGAAAATAAACAAACACATCCAATTGAAAACATCAGCAGCATCCCGCAAAGTTTAGACTTGTATCAACACTGAATAACCCAAAAGAAAAAAAGGGACAAAAATTGTGGAAACAAACGGATAAGAAAAAAGAGTACAACATAGGAAAGCCGAAAGCCACAAAAACAAAGTATCTAAAAAATCGAACTTGAAGAGAGATCCACAGAAGCGAAATAATTCACACACCCAAAATAGAAACCGTCACTAACACTTTGACAACATTACAAAGAGAAAACAGTTAGCGAAAAGGGTGAAAGAAGAAGAGAAAAAAGTGGATGATGAAAGACATGCAGGAAACTGAAAGCAAACCTCAAACTTAGAGAGGGTAGCACTGATCTGGTTCCTCTCTGGCGTGTCCATGTCCAGAGAGGCTACATTACTTTGATTCTCTTTCTTTGTTGTAAGTAATTAGAATGAGAAAGTGGGGATGAGAAATGAGAAGAAGATATGAATATGAGGATTCAAGAAGCGGGAAGGCGGGAGAAGAAGGATTTTCTTGTGGGGACCACTTCCACAGCTGTCTCTCTATTCTATTCTCCTCTTTTGCTTTGCTTTTTTGTCGCTAAAGTAACTTATAAACAGTTACCATCCAAATTCTCTATCTTTACTCCTTCTGGATTTTCTCTTTCTAAGTCTCATTTAAATAACTCTCGCCTCTTCCTCTCATAATAATTATTACTACCATCAGAATCAAATTATCCTCCAACCCGTTTTCTTCTTCTTCCATTATCAATTATATATCATCAACACTTTCTCCTTTCACCGCCGTTTCTTTAGACTCATACGGATCATAACCTTTTTTATTTTAACCTTCATTCATTTTATGGACAAAAAAAAGAAACTTCGTAGAAAAATATGTTACACTCCACCAAAATACTTTCTCTATAGTTGTACCACACAATACAATGTTTTGTTTCTAGTCATCAGATGATGCTCATAAATATGTTTACCAAACTTTTGCTAATATTAAATCAAACAATGAAATTTATTTTCTTTGATTGTGTGAAGAGAAAAAGGTAGGTACCACAATCAAAATCACATTCCAACCATAATAAATAATATGAGTAATTTTATTTTCACTTACAATTTCTATTTATCTCTATGTCATATTATTAATTATTAATTTTATCCCGTAACTTTATTTTTCTTTTCTTTCTGGTTTTAAAAAAAAAAATTTATTGTAAATAAATTATTACTGATCTGATAGTATATGTATGTATATTTCCAAGTTCCAATGTATTGGGAAGACTGTGATTAAATAAGCTCCAAATTAACTCTGGTATTAAAAGAAAACATTCATATCCTTAATAGTGGCAAGAAAAATGAATCGAACCCAGATTTTAATTTTCAACTTATGTTACAAACCTTGTAGGAAACGTTTCAGCCTCATAATTGACTGTTTGATTCCATTAATTTGATTAAAAAGATTGACCTGTTAATGGAATAATAGTTGTTACAGTTTTGCGTTTATGAAAATTACACTAATTAAATCATTTTATTGTACATTAAACCAATTAAAGTACAGTAATTTTGTTTTGATAGACGAAGGAAAAAAGAAGGATTTGGAATCTGACCTAACTGTAGCCGTTAAATTTTATGAGCAGTGCAAAATAGGCAACGCCGTATGAGGAAATTGCGTTTTAGCGCGCGTCGAATTTGAAAAGGGTGTGGTCTGGTGTAAGCGAGGCACAGGGAAAGTGGTGAAGACTCGCGTAGATGGTACGCTAATCAACCTGAATGAGGGACAGGAGGCTACATTCTCTAACGTAGAGCGCAATCCCATAATAACTAACACGCACTTCCATGCACGGAATTTCATATCCTCTGATTAGGATTTAGGATGACAACTAACCTAAGACGTTAATGTGCGTTGGTTGGGCCGTTCCCATCAAACTTTTCTTTTTTACAATTCACTCAGTAATGAAATCTTGTTATAACTTGAAGACTGTTGAGCATGTATAGTTGGTTTACCTAGTTGATTGGGCTGTGAAAATTACCATTACACCACCAGCCCCAACCAGTGGACAAAAAAGATTTAAATTAGAGGGAGTATAATGGGTACTCGAACCCGTTACAAGAGACACAGAGACATAATTAGAGTTCAAAACTAAAATAAAACCTATGAGAAACACAAACCCAAGTTATAATACTAACTAATATAACTAAAGGAACAACCAGAGACAGAACTACTAATCTACTTCTATGAACACAATTTAATATTGTTCAATACTTCTTTATAATCTGTAACACCTTACTGAAAAATAATAACATTATGTGAAATCATAATGACCGGATAATAGAAATCTAAACCACCCGAAGTCAGTGTACAAATGTAGGGTCTGTGCACAAAAGTTCATAAAATGTACATTTATGAGAGATAGAGGTGAAAAATAAAGATGTTCATGATTTATGCATGCGATTGGCTTATCTTTCTGCTCCCAATATCCACCGTTTCCTCTTTCCCGAAGATTGGGTGCAATTTAGAGGTGGTCCCTCTATAAGCCATACATTGGTGTTCCTCACGTGATTTATCCTGCGCTCTTCAATGCAAGTAACAAAGAAATACTCTATAATTAATGGCAATTATGAAAGAGTAAGGGTGTTTATGTCTTTTCCAACCTTTGCCAATTCCATATCATGTTGTTGACTATTTCAGTAACATGCGTACCTTGTCTGTCACGTGCCATATTGTTGCCAATTTAAGGGCATCTCTTACTTTGTTCTATACATTCTCACAACTAATTATGTGCTCTTGGTCTTTTTAGATAACTTAACTGACAAATCAAGCATATTCAACGGATTCTACTTCCTTTTTCGCATATAACACTAATACATTCTTTTACCTTCATAATATAATATAATATATATATATATAACGTTAAGCAATCCATAACCAATAAATAAAAAGAAAAATAAATTAAAATAATTCATGTTAAAATGTGTTGTATTAGTTAGGAGTATGATCAGAATACGTCTTATAAGACCTGAATAACGTTTATCTATTTAACTAACTTTTGAGGAGTTAGGTCTGATATATTATATAATATCAGAATTTATTCAGTTTTAATATTGAGTAATTTGCAAATTATAAAATTGAGTTAAAGATAAAATTAAATTTATTTATATTCTAAAATAATATTAATATATATATATTTTAGTAAATGTTGTTGAGCACCTTATGAGGTCATCCATTATCAAAATATTTATAGATTCTAATCTTATAAATTTTATATTTGATATATCTAATTCTTACTAAAATAATAACCTGTAATTACATATAAATGAATAAATAATCAAAACAAGTTGATTGATTATTATTAACTTATTTTAGAAATTAATTACTTAAATGAGATTATTTCAAAATTATTTACATTTTTAAAGTTGTTTATTGTAGAATCATTATGCGTTATAGTGATTTTTATGTCACATGTCATTTTGTAAATGGTGGTTTCAAGTTAGCCATATGTTTAAGTTACTACAGCCAATAACAATTCTAAAATGTCAATAAATTAATTAATTAACTTTTTTTACAAAAAAAAAATTAAAATGAAGTTGCTATGACCCATAACATCATAGTGACCCTTTTAAATATTAAAAAATTTATTTATTTATTTATTATTTTAATTTATTTACTAATATGTTAAAATTTTAATTCAATTCAAATAAACAAAAAGTTTAATCTACATTCATAAATTTATACTTATATTCGTTATACATATATTTTTTCAATGATATTTTTTATACTGTAAAATTAAATTCATACAAAAAAAAAATTAATTTTATATTTTACTTTATAAATGTATAAACAAATTAATTTTTAAAAATGTTAATATGTTAAAAAATTAAATAAATTAATTTTTTACCAAAAAAAATTAAAATAAAGTCGTTATGACCATAACGACCCTTTTAAATATTAAAAATATTTATTTATTATTTTTATTTATTTAATAACTTGTTAAATTTTTATTTCACTTCAAATAAAAACATTAACCTATAATCGTATATTTATATTTATATTCGTTATGCATATATATTTTTTCAATTATATTTTTTATATGAAAAAATTAAATTAAAATTTTTTTTTAAGAAACTGTGTTAACCTTAAAAAATATAAAAATTAATTAAATTATTTTGAAATATTATATGTTAAAAATTAAATAATTATTTTTATAAAAATTTAAATGAAGTCATCATGGTTCATAACAATTTCTTTAAATATTGAAAAAAATATGGCCTATAACAATTTTAAAATATTTTTTATTTGGATTGTTATAGATTATAACGACTAAAAAAATAAAAATAAGTCACACTTTATTATTATACCCTTGACAACTTAATTAAATTGAGTCGCTATTAGCTGTAATAAGCTTTGTTTTATGACTTTTATGATTTATTTAAAAAAATGTGACACTTGAATCGTTATAGTTCAAAAGAACTGTATTGTAACCGGTCTGTAAATCATTTTATAATAATCTCACTTAAATAATATATTTTAAAAATAATCGTATAATAGTGAATCAGCCATCAAAGCATTTGAGGCACTGGTGAGGGAAGGAGGGTGTCGGGGATTTTCTGGATTTTTTTATTAAGGAAAAAAAAAAAAAACAGTTTATAGATATGGGGGTAGTTTGTTTGTTTAGTTCTTAATTCGTGGATGCTGTTTGCTGCATGGATATGTCCAAAGCAAAGACCAAAAGTCTTTAATAAAAAATGGAAGGAAGATCAAATATCAAGGTCCCAGACAAACACACTGATAATCTATTTGTGGTGTCAGAAGGAATATTATACATATATATATATTCATATGCGACACCCCCATCCCTCTAAATTATGTGCAGATAATGCTAGTTGATGTTTAACTCAAGGGTTTTTTTTGTTTAATTGCTTTTGGGTACTTTTGTTTGACTTTGTATACATTTCTGGAGGAAGTTTCTTACATGGGCATGGCCATCCAAAGAAACTGCGAATTTTGTCCATCAATTAGGTTGTCCACTTGTTGATTTCTCTCTATTTTAATTTCTTTTTCGGGCTGAAAATATTTCCTCTTCATGTGGATGTAAACTTGATAAACATTTGTAAGTGAAAAATCAAAAAACTATTAACAGTATTTAGAGTCAAGATCGATATATAGTTATAGTTGTATTTTGGAAATTAGACAAAATCAGCTTGTTGAATCGAAAATTTTGTGAACCCGATAGATTCAAATAAATCACAAAATCTATCTAAATAAAGAATTGTAAAATCAGATAATGACTAATAAAAAAAGTGGTCCAAAGTAGATTAATGATACACTTTTGCTTTAGTACGTAGATTCAAATGTTTTTCCTGGTTACATATGAACCTAGAATAAAAAATTTTAAATGTGCAACTTATTGATAAGGATATATTTGCAAATTATTATATAACCACCAATTTTATTTTATTTTATATATAAATATAGCCATTTTGTTATTATATTTTCCGTTTGAATCAATTAACAAAGCCCCGGCACATATGTTCTTACATAACGTGTGTGCCAGCCGCATTTATATACCTCTTACTCTCTTTAATATTTTTTTAATGTATTTTTATTTTTTTTAATATAGATATATTCCTTAATCAAAGTTTTAATTCCTCAATAGAAGGCATAATATCCTAATTTTTATGGAGATATTGATCACATGCTAACATTACCAATCCTGTCCTGCCTGGTTAGTATTGGAGATGACACAAAAATTCAAACATTCATACATAGAAAACAAAACACATAACATAGAGTAAAGATCAAGTAGAAAAAAAAAATTTATTTTCACATTTGTGTATTAGACATGTATGACTATTCATCTTCTTTAAAATAGTAATACAAACACATATTTATAAACCAAGCATACAAACAATAGTTATAGACTATAGTTTTATGTACACACTGTACATGCAAATATATCGGAATCACACTATTTACCAGTTACCCGTTTTTAATCATAATTTCTCATTAGTGTTTTTTGTTTAGTCAATTTTTTTGTTTGGACTTTTTGTTTCATTTATATCGATTTAATAGGAAATACATAACTGAGAGAATAACTAGAAGAGAGTGGCTAAATATTTTATGTTTGGTAAGGGATGCAGGAAAAGAGAGAAATAAAAATGTTAGAAATTAAGCACAAGAACAAATTTTTTATATAAAAAAAAAACTAGTTCATTAAGTGAAAATTTTTCATACTTAATACCACATCAAGTTATTTATTTTACTGATTAATGTGAAACTCTTAACATTTTTATTGTAAGATTTAATGAATATGTCAACTTTAAATCTATGAACTCTAACTTCACATGGAAGAGCTTTTCATTTGAGGACAAGAATAATGAAAGAGCTCAAATTTAGAATAAAGACAATAATAAATATGATTATTTATTTTTGAATTGTGATGAAGAACACTTTTTAAGAATGATTCTTCTCTTCATTAAGTCATATGTGACGCGTCTTGTATTAATATCGTTTTCTTGTTATTTTTAAATACTACTAATTAAAATTAGTGAATATCAATTTTAATTTAAACATTTTAAAAAATAAAAAATAAAAATAAATCTAAAAACTAAGATATATGACCAAAAGTATTTATATAGCCTATATAAAATAATAAAAATAATAACCTTGTAATGATACTCATGCATGAGAAACTTGAGGTTGAATTTACAAATGCTGTGGTGGCTTTAATTTATTTAAGAAGTTATTTACATATATATATTATAGATATATACACGACACAATTAATACACAAAGCCGCTAGAAGATAAAGAGAACTCAAGCAGCGTCTCATTTTTCTTCTAAGTCTCAGCCAAGAGTGATGAACTGAAGGATTGCACGCCTTATTTACAAACCTTACTCAAATGCAAAATTACAAAAATACTATATATTATATATTATATATTATATATATCTCCACACCTTCTCATCTTACGTTTTCAAATACTGAAAATTAAAGATGGAAGCACCACTCAATCAACCACCACTTTTGATAACGGAAAAGCATTTCAACGCCTGCTGGTGCTAGGCTCAATGCCCACTGTCTTCAATGTCTCCGCGGTTCTAGGACTGCAACAAGTTAACCATGCACCTTCATTACTCTTTCTTAACTCGTAAATATATAAAACAAGCCCTATAATAAACATAAACTTGCATGCATCACAAATACAATGTTTTTAGATTTGTTTTCATGTCCAATAATACTATTTTTTGTTTTTTTATCCATAATATTGATACCAACTCTAAAGTATCGTTCATAAAGTAATGACTGATTTTTATCAGAATCATGAGTTATATATAATAAGATAGATTCAAACTTTATAGTGCTTGAATATGAAATACAAGTGGTTACAATTTATGTTAAGCGTTGTTGGTCTTGACAAATGATACTTGATGATATTAATGTCTGAGTAAAAGATTAATGAAGATGTATATATTTACCGGGTGAAAGGATTAGGGTGGACAGGATCGTGGAGTGTGGGATTGGTTTCCTGAATTTGAGACATCTTCCTTAAGAAAGAACCATCAATGAATTTGCTAGCAGAGTTGATGGTGCGATCAGGATCAGACACCTCTGGCATTGATTCTCTTCTTTTCTTGTTGATATGAACAGTTGGAGAACGTGCCAGTTGTTGAAACGCAGTGTGTGATCCAATTGCCACAGCTACACCCACCATTCCACACACTATGTACACTGGTGCAAGCTCTGCCTTCAGTGTCATCCTATACCATCACAAACCTTAATTAAACACACTATTTCCGATTCATATAAAGTAATTTTACATAGTCAACCAATAAAAAGTTATCATACCTAATAAGTTAATATAAAATTTTATAATAATTATCTTAGTAAAGTTTTTATAATGATAAAATAATAATGGGAAATTATGTTGCTTGAGGTGGCACACCTGTGAGTATGGTTAGCAGCATCTATGGTTGTGGACATAGGCTTCAACTTTGGAAGGGTGGGAGAAGTAAATGATCGCCTTCCTGATCCAAACTGAGCCAGCTGTGTGATCAATCGCACATTTTTCTGCATGTGTATCAAACCAATTATTATACAAGATTTTATTTTTTTTCTTGTTCCAATCACATTCATCGATAAAACAGAATCCATTGACAATGATTTTTATGTCCATTAACATATATTTTGTTTTCTATAAGAACAAGAGCAAGATTAATTATTATGTAAGAATGTGACATAATCATGATCAAAATGGGGAAAAGGCTTTACCGCTGCCCTGAAAGCCATTTTGTTTTTGTAGAACCGAAACAAAGATACAAATGATGTTGTAATTTGAATTTGTTAGTCATAATGTCCTCCATGAGAATCCATTTATATAAGAGAAGAAAGGGTCGCAGAAGTAACCACGTGGTGGGATATTTATGTATTAATATTTGTGACCACAAAACAGAACCTTACCAAAAGTGACACTTGCCAATTGCAATAAGGGAGGTTGTGGATAATCCAAAGGGCTACATAGTCGGTTCAACCGTTAATGAGTGGCTAAATATACAAAAGTGGTCAAATCAAATCCCTCAAACACAGTTTTACTCTTAGTATGACTTTGAATCCTTCAAAGTCAAACTAGATCAGTGAATATCCTGGAAGCCAACCATGAATATATGTCGAGGAAAAATAGTGCTATAAATGGAAAATCTGTGGAGAATATCTCTCAAAGACTGTTTTTAGAATTAATAATATTTTTAATAAGAACAACATGTATACGACCAATGTATTTAAGTTAAATTCTTTCCATTCGTTTGTTTGAATGGAGGAAAAATAAGTAAAGAAAAAAAACTTATATTTGAATTAAAACATGGTAAATTGTAAATAGTAAATAGTAATAACTAATATCTAATAAGGTAAAGTCTACCAAAACACCAAAAGGCATCACTTTGGAAGTTCCAAATAGCCAAAACCAAAAGTAAAAGTGGATACTAGAGAACAGAGGAAAATGTCAGAATTCCGAAATAAAGAAGAAGAAAAAATCACAACATGGCTTGTGTGAATCCAAATGAGTAGTCTTTTTTCCTGCATGTCACGTTGCTAATGAACTTTCTCAGATAGCCTTATTCGTTGCAGAATCCAATAGATTTCTCTTTGACAGTACAAAGTACAAGATTTAATTTGTCCATTCTTCATTTAGAAAATGTTGCATTTTATCACTCCAATGCATTTAAAGGAATATTCAAATATATTTTATTACACAGTATATGGGATGCTGTTGCGTACTGCTTTTTTTCCTTCTGATTATTATTTTTTTTACAACATCAGGACCTATCTATAAGTTTCTGACATCTTTTTTTTTTTTTTCAGTCCAAATAAGTTACTGGCACATTGGAGTGGGCCATTTGACGCATATAACTCAATTTGGACCACTTTAGGCTCAGATGAGACAAACGTAGCGTTAGAGTTCAGAATAAATGTTTGTGCTTATTTTACTGGACATGGGCCTAACGCCAGATAACAAAGGCCCATATTTGATCTCCACACTGTTTCACATTTTTTTAATAAAAAAATTATTCTCGAAAGAAACTAGATTTTATTGTGTAATTTGACCAAAATTAGTCAAAATATATAAGGAATGTTAGATTTCATCATGTATCTTGATAAAATTAAGTTAAAATACACAACAGAAAATTAATTTCATCAAATCCGCGACACGCAAAAATTAAAAAAATAATAATAATGAGGGTGTCGTGAAGAAAACATAATTATTTTTAATTTATAGAGATAAGTAAAAACAGAAGAATACTAAAAAAATAAAATGTTTTATAAATGTGCATAATGATGAAATGTATGATTTTGTTTGAAACAGAAATAATTAACAATATTCTTTCCTTTTTTATTTTGGTATATAATAATATTCCTTGGTATAGTCCTTTTGTGATTATGAGAATTTATATGCAGAATATTATGATTATGGTTATGGGGTGTTGCGTCTCCACTCTCCAGCAGATTCTGAAAACCATTTGCTGATGTAAATACTGTTCTTTATAATTTTCTTGACTTTCCAAATGTTCTTTCCTTGTACGTACCAATGATCACAAGTTTTCTATATTCTAACTTTCGAACTGGGAGACGCGTAGCGTCGCAAGGTTTCATAACCAAATCTCATACTATTAAATTAAAATACAATAAAAATAAAGTTTATTTTATCATGATCACTTTTATGTTTTACATTAAAATTATAGTTTAATGTAAATTAAAATGGTACAAGGTGTATAGTAATATAAAATTATTTATACCACATATTATTCTCTCTTTTTTCCTTCTTAAAAGTAAAGAAAAAGGCAAGGAAAATTTGACACTGATAACCCATATTTCTTCGCAACCGGAATTAGGCTAGTCGTTGACAAAAGAAAAAAAGTTGGATTATAATATTCCGTATAACCCATATTTTGTTATCATATATATCTCCAAATACTTAGTCAATTGCCATTATACTATAATTTAATAAATGGACAATTAAACCATGTTGACTTAATTAACAAATAGACACACCAAAGCATGCTAATTGACGCACTCATTTCATTATTGTCGAATTTCAAAGTCGTATATCCTGTTTGAGTTGGATTGTATTTAATGAATCATATAAGTGACTTCATCACGAATGGGGAGAATAGTTATGAGAGACTCATATTAAATAAAATTAGACATGATAAGTGATATAAGTAATAAAAAATTTTAAAAAAAAACTCATCAATCTAATATTTTAAGATTTTGAATTAAGATATAATATCAAATTTATTTACATAATTTATTCATTATAAATTAATAAAATTTTACTCAACCTAACATACTATTTTTACTTCTTCACCACTTTATCAAAATGGTTACTTCTTTATTATGATGAGATATTGTCCGCTTTGGAATTAAGCCCTCACAGTTTTGTTTTTAGTCATCACCTAAAAAGCCTGTCTGACATTGGACTATACGTGTATTTTATAAGTTATTATTTTTTTTCTTATTTTATATCTCAATAGTTGATAATATATTTATTCACGTGATTGGTTCATATGGCTTTTAGCCGTGGGATATACCTTGTTTTTGGAAAATAAAATTAAAAAGAAATTGAAAGATTGTGTGTGATGATGTCATGGTGAGTGGATGACGATGTTATTATTCTGATTGTAATATTTTAAAGTAAGGTCAAAGGAAAGAAATATTAATTAGAGGAGAGGAAGGGTAAGAATGCATGAAATGAAAGAGACTAAATTAGAATAAGAAATCTGAAGCAGAAGCAGCTAACTGGGTCAATTTAAGTCTGGAGCAAACAATATCTTTAATTAAATAAACCTGATGAAGGCCTCACAATCATTGAGCTCAAGAATTTATATTATTTATGGTTTAATATTCATTATGTTTGTTGGTGTGTTGCTAAGCTAATAAATAATAATTGACGCCTATTCTGACTTTTCTCCCTTGCTTCAGCAGTAGGTATATGCACTTGGAAAAAAAAAAAAAAAAAGGAAAAAAATCTTTACTTTTCCTTTTTTTTTTTTTACTTTTTCTTAAAATTTATTCAAGTAAGCAAAATTATAGAAAAAAATTAATTTTAAATGATAATCATGTAAAATATCAACTAATTTTATTAATGATTAACTTCTATTAGATAATTTAGCCGATTATTTTTACTATATTCTTTATTTTTAATTACTTTTTTTTGTCTATAAGAAATAAATTTCAAATCTTAAGAAAATGAATTTATTTTACTCGAATAAATGACTTATTAATTACTTTTAGTTTTCTAATTTCATAACAAAGTAAATATTGTTTTGGAGAGGGGTATAAGTGCTGGATTAATAAGGTGATGTTTGTTCGAATCCATAATATATTAATAACTAACATTTTCTTTAAAAAAAAAAGTCATTTCTGTTGTCTAGGTTGTGGTTTAATTTCATATATTATTACTATTATTATTATTATTATTATTATTTTAGGATTAGTGGTAAATCAGTATCACAGTATTTAACATCTTTTTAATTTTTTTTATTACTAGTCAAATTTATTAAAAACGATAAAAAAAAAATATGAGTGAAACTTATTAGATGAGAATTGAGATTAACATATTATGTTTAAAAAGTATATTCAAAAAATGTAAATAGTTTTTTTCGTGTTTATTTGAAAGAGTATCTAAGTAATGCAGGATTTTTTGTTTGAATAAAAATTTCTATTTGCTATCATTTCTTCAATTATATTTTTTCATTTGATTGCCTTTTATATTAAATAAATAAATAAAATGTTAAAAAATGGCTATTATATTTGTAACTTTTAATAAAAAAAAATGTAATATTAAACACTCTTCTAAAGTAAAGCGATTTTGTTGTAATGAAACAGATTCTGTTATTATTATTATTATTATCCTGGTATTGGAGTTAAGATTCTCAGAATCTGAATCTTCATAAGTATAGTTTTAAGGAAATAATAATAAGAAATTAAGAAAGAAAGAAATAAAAAAAAAAAAGATATTTTCCCGTCTTATGGATTTATGAGACAAAAATTGATGGTAATGAAAAGATTGTACGACATATTTGTCCTTGTGTTAGGTAGAATGTAAAATGGGAGAGATTAATGAGAAAAAGGGCATGAAAGATTAGGAATGAAACGTGTCCTTTGTAAGCGAATAATGAGAATGAGAAAAGACATTGTCGTGAAGAGTTAAAAGAATGATGAAAGGAAGTGAAAGAAGGGAAGCATGATGGTTGTTGTTCTGTTCCACCTATTTTGAAACATTCTCTCTCCTTCACCACATTTTAGGGAACACGCGCGCTTCTTTCTGCGATCATCACCGCTGTTTTTCTGTTTATTTGGTCCTTCTGTTTTCTTTTGCTGTTTTGTGGCTTTACCCTTCAAAATCGCTCCTTTTGCTCTTCTACCGTTTGGAAGCGGGTTTGATTAGAGCGATGAATTGTTGGGATCAGGTTCCTGCTGTTGGCATCTCCCAATTGGTCATGACAACCTCCGCAATGCTCATTGCATCAAAACCCAAAAGCCTTTGATTCTTACAAAAGCTAAAAAGGTATCCACACACGCAAAAAATTTATAAAAAAAAATAACAAACACCCACTTTTTTTTGGGCCATATAAATTAGTCAATTTTTTCGTCTCTGCCTTTTTCTCTTATTTAGCGTAATTCCTAATCTCATTTTGTTTCTTTCGTTTGATGCTTCAGCTTCCCGTTTCGTGGTTGCTGCTTTCAAGGTTTGTGCTTTAAATTGGTTGATACCTCTTCCTTTCTTTTTTTCTTTTTGCACCATAAAAAAAATGATTTTTTCTGGTTCGTTGGTCTTGGTCGTCGAATAGTGCGAACTGGGTCGTTTTCTGATAGCTCTGCTTTTCTTTATTCCTTACGGTACTATTTTCCCAAGGGAAGATAGTCAATAAAAAACAAATTTTTGGGCAGAAAAAAATTCTGGGTTTGAATCACAGAAAGTCAATTTTCTAGACAGAATATAACATACAGAAGAAGGCAGTTCCTTTGCTATCAGATTTAATTTTTTTTTTATTAATTTTTTCTTGGTGGTTTTACACTGTTGGGGCTGTCCTAATTGATTTTGGGATTTGAAGTTGTGGGTGTTGAGAAATGGATTCGGAAGGTGAGGGTGGTAGGACACCAAAGATTTTATTGGAAGCAGAAGGGGCTCTGCATAAGATGAAGGGTGCTGGAAACATGAGCAGCAAAGACATGATTTTCAGAGCTGATAAGATTGATCTCAAGAGTTTGGATGCCCAACTGGAAAAGCACTTGAGCAGGGTTTGGTCGAGGAGTGCTGAGTTGAAACGCCCCAAAGAAGAGTGGGAGGTTGATTTGGCCAAATTGGATTTACGATATGCTGTGGCTCATGGGGCCTATGGTACTGTATACAGGGGCACATATGATACTCTAGACGTTGCAGGTATTTCAACTTTATTTATTTTATATCTTGTGTTTCCCTTAAAAAAAAAATTGTGAAAAGAGATTGAATATGTTATTCTTTAAATACTCGAACGTTCTGCATTCTTTCTACCTCAATTGGATGGTTGTAGTGGAGTTTAGAACGTGTTTGGATTCTCCTCCACAAACCTCAAACGTGGATAAGAGAAGCAACTATTAATTGCTTTTGGTGTGAACATTTGAAGGAACGTGGATCATTGATGAGAATCCAAACATGCTTTCTTTAATCAATCATATGGGTTTTGCTATAATATTATTATTTAAATCTTTGCCTGAGTTTGATGATGATGGGAGTAAGAGAACGTGGCCTCAGCGTAGTGTTCAATAAGAGTAACTCATGTCTTGTGATGTCCTTCTCTTGTGATTTGAGTTAGCATTGAAATTTTGTCATAGAGAGAATAGGCAATGTTTTGCTATTTTTTTCTCCATGTGGTTCTATGTTGGTCTAATGACACCTTGTTTTTTAGCAATGAAGTTAAATGTTGAGATGATGCGTTTTAAAGTCACTTTGCTGGCTACCGAATAAAACTAAAGCTTTTAGAATTTTAAAAAAGAAGTGGATTTTTAGATTATTTACTCCTCATATTCACTCTATGTCAAACTATATTTTTATAAATGTGTATAATAAATTTGTGGTAGGGGAAATATAGCAGTATACTAATTCTATTATCCCTTTGGGTTGTCATCTTGAATTTTATAGTGAAAGTGTTGGACTGGGGTGAGGATGGTGTAGCTACTCCTGCTGAAGCCGCTG